AGGGCTTTAGAACACTGAACCTCTGATCAGTTCCACACTCTTTTTTTTTTTTTTTTTTTTTTTTTTTTTAAGGAGATTGAATTTGGGACCTTGCTCTTGCAGGGCAGGTGGTGGCACCACTGAGTTAAATCCCCAGCCCTCCACACTGATTTTGTTCTGTGACATATTTTTTTTCTTTTTATTGAGTTTATTGGTACAATCTAGGTATACAATATAGTTACATTCATCAATGGGATTCTGTACCTTTACATAATAGGTCTTGATTCTCATTTTTCCCCTTGTCCCTGCCCTCCCTTCACCCCCTCCTTCCCTTCCACACTTTATTTCCATTTTTTCAGTTTCTCATTTTTTTTCCTCTCCCTTATTACCTTTCCTCCACCCTTCCCACTTTCCCTACACCTTTAGCCCTTTACTTCCTATTTCACATTATTAATTATCTCATTAGGATCCTGTGTACTATTATAGTTTTTCACACCAAAGAAACTATTCAGTATTTCAGTTAAAGAAATCTCTGTATGAACATTAAAAATAGGGAATCCTAAAATAAAACTACAAAGGAAAGTAAAAGAGAAAAGGCAATGATGTAACATTAAAATAATCCTTAATTCTGGAGATGAAAATGGTCACTGAACATATTTAAATTGCTTCTTTCTCTTAGAGTCTTATCTTATTCTTTTTTTCATTATTTAGAGAATACTTTATTAGTTTCTGTAATCAAACCCACGTAGGTATGACCTTACATATTTAGTACAATGTGTTACCCCTGTACACATGGAAAAAAATTTTAAAAATTAACATTTCTAGACCAATATGGCTGTCCATTTCTGTACAATGCCAACTCAACACAGTAAATTGGGATGACTTTTTCCAAAGTTGGCACACTGTTAAAGTTTTCCTAAATTCAATTTATATATATGTGCACATATATATATATATATTTATATTTATATAAAAAGACTAATAATAGCAGTATGTTATGCATCGATAGCAGCAACAGATTTTCCAGGTTCTGCAGCCATCTAAACAAAATTATAGACATTTAGCACATTCCCTTAAAAACAAAACAAAACAAAAAAACAAAGAAAAGAATAATATCCAGAAAACAGCAAAGTTCTGTTGCTGTTGGGGTACCTAGCACCATTTTTTTTTATTAGCATCTTAACCATCATCTGGAAAGAGAACATTCTGGAGTAATATCATTAAATGTAGCTCTGATAGAGTACGGTCCCTACTATGTATCATAAAGCAGGTACAAGATATTTTACATTCATAGAGAGGTATGATAGTACCATGTCCTACATCAATAATACTAGAATCAGTTTTGGTTTGAACTTTACTTTGTCTGCAAATAAGATTGCTACCCCTGTTTTTTTCTGGACTCCTGTCACATGGAGAATTGTTTTCTATCTTTTCACTTTCAGGCTATGGGCTTCTCTTTGCACTAAGTGTGTTTCTTGTATACAACATATTGTTAGATTTTGCTTCTTATTCCATTTTGCCAGTCTATTTCTCCTGATTGGTGAGTCGAGGCCATTGACATTGCTGGTTATAACGGATATGTACTGACTTGTTATTGACATGTTATTGGCCTTTTGTTGACTCTTTTTACGTTTTCACCTTCTCCTTTTAATTTCTTGCCTTGCCTATTTAATTTGCTCTTTTGGGCCTCATGGTGTGTTGCTTTCATTGTCTTTTTCTAGGATCTTGTTTAGAATTGCTTGTAGTGCTGGTTTGGTATTCATGTAGTTTCTCAGGTGTTCTTTGTCATGGAAGTGTCTTATTTCCCCCTCCATTTTGAAAGAGAGTTTTGCTGGATACATCAGTCTAGGTTGGAGTTTGTTCTCTTTTAGTACTTGAACTATCTCATTCCAGGCTCTCCTTGCCCCAAGGGTTTGTGTTAAAAAGTCTGCTTTGATTCTGATTCTTTGTATGTGATTTGTTTTTCTCTTACTGCTTGTAGTATTTTATTCTTCTGTTGGGTTTCTGGGATCTTGATTATTATATGTCTAGGTATAGCTTTTTTTTATTGTAGCTAGTTGGGCTCCTATATGCCTCAGTTATCTGAATGTCAAATCCTTCCCCTCTGTTTGGGAAGTTTTCTGTCATTAATTCTGTGAACAGCTTTTTTAAGTCATTTGTATTTTCTCCTGCTACTTTATGGATACCTATCAGTCTTATGTTATTCTTCTTTGCATCATCTAGGAGTTGTTGGATCGATTTCTCATGATCTCTTACTGTTTTTAAGAGACCTCTCTTTTCATGGTCACTGACTGCAATCTTATCTTCTATATCTGAGAGCCTATCTTCGCATTGTTTTATTCTGTTGTGTACACTTTCAATAGAGTGTTTAATCTGCTGGATGTCTGTTTGAATCTGTTTTATGGATTCCATTTCTTTCCTATGTTGAGCATTTATTTTTTCCACTTCTTTCTTATGCTGGGCCTTCATGGCTTCTATCATGGTCCTGAGCTCATCTATTTTTTTGTCAGTTTCTGCTCTAGAGTCTCAAATCATGACTTCCATTTTGCTCACTATCTCTGTGGTTATCTGGGAAATTATTTCTGTTTTGAATTTTTCTAGAGCCTGATTGATCTGTTTTGTTACTTCCTGTGCTTTGAGTTCAGGGTGTCCTGGTGGTTCACTATCGGCCTTTTCATCCTCATTTGCTCTACTGTTTGCCATTGGTAAACTGGGAATCTCTCCTTGTGTCTTGCTTAAGTGTTTTCTCATTTTAATTTTTGTTGTCGGACTGTCCTTGGTTTAATCTCTGGATTATCACCCAAATCTTCCTGATATAGTTGCACCCTAGCTTCTGTGTCTCTAACAACCCACAGACGTTCTCATCTTCATAACATCAGAGAAAACAGCTCATCAAATCAATGGCAATCCTTTATCCCAACTGATACAACCAGCAACACATTAAGATCAAGCACAACTTGGGCACTGACCACCTGTGGTAGTCACTAGTCTATCACCCTTAAAACATTTGAATTAAATTGAAATCAAGAAGCAGTCCAGAACATGTCTGCAGTGAACAAAATTTCAATATAGTGTATTTACCATTTAATGGCTCTGACAGAGCGATGATGCAAGACCCCTGATCTCAGTTAGCTGATGGCTGAACCCCATGACACTGACTGACCTCAGGCTGCAAGGCCCAGATTGAGTGCCCCAACCTTCTGAATGGTTGAACTCCACAACGTTCTATTACAGATTTCCCATGCTCTTTCTTTAAAGATGTTCAAAATTGGGAACTCAGAAAAATACCCTTGATGACCACCTCTGCCTCTGCAGAGTGAGTCCAAAGACTGGCACAGTCAGGAGGTCTGAGAGTGGGGGGGGGTGCTTATGGGCTTTCAGGGGCACCCACACGGCTACCTTCCTGGCACTGGAGCGATGGCGGCTGGGTCGGAAGCAGGCGTGGCTCTCCTTCCCACAGTATATCGGGGCCCAGGCTACCTCCTGGCACTTGAGGTAGCAATCATTTTCTATCTTGTGAGTGTGTTATGTGCTAAAGTTAAGAATTCACATCTGAGGCCTCACACGGTGGCACATGCTTATAATCCCAGCACTATGAGAGGCTGAGACAGGAGAATTGCCAAGTTTTAGCCCAGCCTGAGCAATTTAACAACTTAGCAAGATCCTTCTTTTTCCTTCTCCTTTCCTTACCCCTCCTCCTACAACTATGAGTTTAGGAAATAAATATAGTCAGATTTTTGTGATCTGCAAATCTAATAGCTGTATCTAACAGTTTACCTATCTTTGTTTTGAAACTTTCTACTATTTATGGACTTATTTCAAGCACAAAATCCTGAGCAATGGGATACCAATGAATCAAATAACATGCTAGTATTACAGAGAGCTAAGATAGGTAGAAATATAGGCAGTCAGATAGAGTTGGGCCCTTGACAGAATCAGTGCAAATGATAAAAACACATTACAACACTGACCAGAGATGCATCTGTTGCGGACCAGGCCTCAGGATAGACAAAATGACCAGGCTTTCATACTTCCCCCCAAAGGACAAGAAAGATAAGTGGCAGCACCTGACCCAGTGAAGTCTAAATAGACATCAGTCACCTCAGAGGGTGACCAAGACCTCCAGATCCATCATTTCCTAGAAAAAGTCTTCATTCTTTTCATTTATACTTGTTTTCCCATTGGATCACTATTATCAATGTTACTATACTTGTAACCTTATTGGTTATTCATGGTTTTAACCCACATTATATCCATGTGGTTTTTGCTGTATAACACTTCCCCTCAAAAGTGGGGTCCTGGTAACCAATTTGGGACCTCTCCTGCCTCTCAGGAATTATCCTCTCAATAAATATTTCCTACTCTTAGCCTCTCTTGTTCCTAGAATTCGTTTTTCAATTTCAAAGATCATAAACATGGCGTATCAGACACCTAACAGCTTCAGAATTATAGTATTTCCCTTATATCTCTTGGAGTTCCTATTTTATCTCTTATATCATCCCTGTATCAAATTGTAGCAATTTGGTTTGGTCACTGTTCAGTTCACAGATTTATCGTGGTTCTTTTCTCCTTGCATTAATATTAAATATTTCATGGAGTGTCTTAGTTTAGGGAGTCTCAGGGTTCAAATCTTTTATAGTGACCCACGGGTGGCCTCACTTCCTTTATGTCTCTTCTTGTCGCTGAAGTCAAGACCTGCAATTACCTTGTTGCTATGTTTACATTTTTCTCGTCTACCTTGTCCACCGACACCTACACCACCCCACATTTGGATGTCACCACTAGCGATATGACACTGACACACAGGAGGAGCTCAGTCATTAAACCCAACTACTCAAGCCACACTGCCAGCCTCCCTCTGCACTATCCGGGTCACCACCAGGGCACACAGCACCACCAAGTCTCACAGCACCACCAGAGACTGCCTTTGCAGAAACCATGCGCGAGGGATTCTGGGGAGTGTAGTTCGAGTGCGCATGGTCCTGGCGTGAGGTTCCGCATACGCAGGCGCACTTCAGACTCTGGCCTGCCGCTGCGGCCATTGTGCGCCCCCCATTGCGGCGGACACCGCTTTGGGCATCTGTCCCTCCTGCAAAAAAGAACCGGAGAGGAGAAAGCCTGCAGCCGGGGCGGGAGGGGCCGACCCGAGGCCCTGGTTGGGCTCGAGGTCGCGAATCCGGAGCACTCTGGAGGCGGTGATTCTTAGTGCTCGGGTTGTCGTGGCACCTTCGGGATTTAGGGGCCTCGCCCACCGCCCTGAGGCTGGGAATGGGCGTGACCGAAAGGGACCGCGGGAGCAGCGGGCAGGGGCGGGGCCCGCGATCCTTATCCTCTAGCGGCACAGTGGCCGAGAGGGACGGCGGTCGCATCCCAGTGAGCGCCTTCTCCTTTCTCCGCAGTCCCTGTCCGGGATCCGCCCCGCGAGGCAGGAATGGCCCCCAGGCCGCCCACCGCCGCGCCTCAGGTGAGCCGCGCGTTTGGGTCGGGCCGGGGCCAGGACGTGTTGGGGACAATTATTGTTCTTCTCCTAGAGATACACAGTCTTGGCTTGATTGCCACCTCGGAGGCTCCTAACCACGTGAAACCCCAGCGTGTCCTGAGCTGGTCAAGTGCGGGAGTTGTTAAGACTGCATCAGAGCAGTGCAATCTTGGGAGAGTAGCTAAGGTTGAATGTGTTGGAAGTGTCATTGCTGAGTCCTGAGTGCGGGGCCACTTCTTTGAAGTCTTGTCAGTGAGGAGTGGAGAGAGTGAGAGAGGAGAGAGTGAGGATAGAAAACTGTAGAGAAAGTGACTATTGGTAAGTCTGGAAGGGAGAGTACCGGGGGCCAGGGGGAGGCCTTAAAATTCCGAAGTTTGGTCAGGATATGCCTAGGAAGAGACTGGTGGTGGGCTTTCATGGGCAAGGATAACAAACAAACAAACCAGGACTGACTTGCCCTGAGCTTTTCATGTCTTTTACTGTCAGTTTGGCTTTTTTTGTGTGTGTGTGTGCTGGGAATTGAACCCATGGCCTTCACACTGAGCTACATCCCCAGTTATTTATATATTTATTTATTTAGGTACTGGGGATCAAACTCAGGACTTTGTGCGTGCCAGGATGTCGGAGGCATCACTGAGCTAAATCCCCAGGCCTCCCAACTCTTTTTGAGACAGATTCTAAGTTGCCCAGGTGGGATTCAAACTTGCGATCCTCCTGCCTCAGCCTGCTAGCCCTTTTCTGCTTTAACAAAAGTGTACAAGTGCACAACCCCAAAAGTCCATCCTCCATCTTAATGAAGCTAATTTGTGAGCCTGTTTATTATTGTGGCACAGGTGGCATTTTTATAGACATTGCAACTCTGAAGTTGTCCATTGATTTACATGAAGTATTTCATTGAAAATATAAAATGCAGAGGTTATCTGGATCTTTTTGTTTTGTTTTGTTTTGTTTTTTTCGGTACCAGGGATTGAACTTGTATCCTTATGCTTGCAGGGCAGGCCACTGAACCACTGAGCTAAATCCCTGGCCCTGTATCTGGATCTTTTAATCCATGCTCTCTAAAGTTTAGGAAAAATAGGTGATTGTTGCTACGTGTATGATACAATTAAGATCAATCCTGATAAAATACTAGTAATATTGAAAAGTGGTAACAGTAAACTTATAAAATGTATGGCACATGTATATATATATATAAATTTTTAAAACTACTTGTTATAGGAGTGAACTACTTGTTTAAGGAGTAAAGCAAGTAATACTAGAGGAAGACAGTTGGATTGAGGAGAGGCAGAGCAAATTACTATCATTCTCACCTTTACACACAAAGTGTTCCCTCAGAAGGCGGTGAGACTTGGAATGACTTAATACCTCATCTGGGCAATGGTCCTTTCTGTTGAACTGGAATCCTTGTGCTTGCAAGGCAGGCGGCGGAACCACTGAGCTAATTCCCCGGCCTTTTTTTTTTTTTTTTTTTTTTT